CTGTCCGGCTGGCGCTATCCTTTATTCTCCCTCTACGAAAGGGTCAGAAAAGGTCCAAGAAGTCACATAAGAGTATGTAACGCGCTAAAACACGTACCGATTCATCCAACTCCAATTGCAGCATACGACGAACACGTTCCGTCTCATCAATTGCTCCCTTCATTTGTTCGAGCTCGTTGACAAGCGATAGGATTCGCGTTTCACGATCGCGTGACTCTTGAGCATGAGCGTCTCGTTCCAAAATTGCCTGAAATAGTGCAGTCAACAAAAGGACAGACAATTCCAGCAGGCTGACAAGTTTTCACTACTTTTGACCGCCTTGCAGTATTGCCAAAGCAGTCAAGTAGTAAATCGCCTCAAAACCAAAATTCCTCACAGTATTCCCCATTTACAGCTACAATCTTCGAAAATGAGACCGGATATCTACCGATTTCCTTTTGCGAGGGTTTATTTGACTTGGCGTTGTCCAGGGGTAGTTTGACTACTGGGCACAAATATCACACCTGCTTGTCACGAAACAGTTTAGCGCCAGCGCCAATATGCCTCAATTCATCGAATTCGCTGAAAACTTGTTGCCTCTAGCTAAAGCTCCCATACGTTAACACCTCATTCACTTGGGTTCTGAGAGAACTGAAGATGTGGGGATGATGAGGCATACACGCGACGTGTGAACTTTTCTGCTTGTAAGCACCATCCCTCCGAGGAAGTTATCCCTTCCCCTGCTAAGGCTCAGCCTTGGCAATGTAAGGGGTTACTATAGTGAACAAGATGCGGCCTTGTGCACCGCTGCAGTCGACCATGAAAGCCTTGTCTAGTCCTGTGCCCGAGCTACCTTAGCACTCCACTTGGGGCCCGCGCTATAGGAGCCGGCGCCAACACAGGTTCGCGGCTGACGGTTGTGTCATGGGCGCCAGGCGGCGTCGCGGCGAACAAATGTGATATTCTTGTGTTCTGAGGTCAAACCTCCCCCCCCCCACCCACCACAACAAAAAACCTGGGTACAATTTTCTAGACGAATCGAAGTTCTGACCCGACTTCGAAAACTCCGACAGGAAAAGGTAAGTAGTGCCCAATAAATTGCAGAAAAAAAAACTAGGTAAGACAACTACTAAAGCGAACCTTTTGCACATTAGCTCGCTCTTCAGCCAGCTGCATGTCGAACTTCTTCTGCCGCTTTTCCATTTCTCTAGAAGCTGTGCGAATGTTCTCCAGTTCAATATTGGCATCTTCCAGCTGAAAATTAAATAAGTCAGCCACATTCTATTTTACACTTTTTCTTCCAAACCGGCCTGACTAACCTCTTG